AACAGATTCACTTGTTTTTTCTCTCACCTGAGGATATTTTTTCCATTGATTTTTTTAAAGAGAGAGTGGAAGGGAGGGAGAGACAGAAAAACATCAATGTGAGAGAGACACATCGATTGGTTGCCTCCTGCACGTGCCCTGACCAACCAGGGCCGGGGATTGAGCCTGCAACTGAGGTACGTGCCCTTGACCAGAATCGAACCCACAGCCCTCTAGTCCATGGGCTGATTCTCTATCCACTGAGGCAAATGGCTAGGGCAACAGGTTCACTTTGATCCTTGACTTGGGAATAAATGGGGTGGGGGCAAGCAGAGAAGTGGAAGCAGAGGGGTCCGTTCGAGGAAACTGTAGTAATCCAGGCAGAAGGTAAAGGCAGCTCGGACCAGGATGGAAGCCGTAGAGGCAGGGAGATGTGGTCAGGTTTGGGAGCTATTCTGAAGGTGAAGCCAACAAGTGCACTGATAGGTTGGGTGGGGAGTGTTCCAATGCCTGGAGCACAGGGAGCACCACGGAGGTGTTTGTAAAATGAAAAGTGGACACAGAGGTCCAGGGGACAGAGTGGAATGGTTTCAGGAGCCAGGGAGAGTTAGGAGGTGGGGATGGAGAGGGAATAAAGGCGAAGGGCCTGGCATGCAGGAGATGGGCGGTAGCCTGGGCGTCTGGGCTTATTGTGCTAACTCACAAAAACAGGGAAGAAAGGGCACAGTGAGAAAGAGGAAAAAGAGCACAAAAGTCACCCTCCTCCCCTCCAAGTCAGCCTCTAAGAGGAGCAGGGAGCCTCTTGCTTATCTTACGTTTCCCTTCTTTCTGCTCCCCTCTCCTTCTCCCTAGGCTGCCCACTGTTTTATTATAACCGGGTCACTGGTTAACTCGTTTACGCGAACACGGTTAGTAAAATGTAAACTTAAGTAGTTTATGTGGAACGTGGTATGTTTTAGCAGCCTTCTGCCCGAGGGTCGGAGTGGCGGGGATGGCATTTCTGGGGTCTCTTGGTGGATGCGGCAGGCATCCATCCAGCTTTCTTACGGTGCAGGTCACCTGCGGCAGAAGCTACAGTTCTGCTGGTGGCCACTGGGGGGAGCCCGCGCTGAGGAAGCAGATGGGGAAAGGGGGAGGGAGGCGAATCTGGCGGGTCTGAAGGCCTTGGTGAGAATTCTTACCTGGGTCAGTTCTCCAGCGAGGCTCCAACTCAGGCCTGGAGGCTCCACTCAGCTACCCGGCTGCTGCAAAGGAACAAATACAGTGGGGAGACCAGCAGGCTCAGTTACCCAGGCCTCCTCTCTGGCAGCGACATCCCTCAGGGCCCCTTTCCTCATCTCCATGCTCTGGAAGCTCGTCCTTTATCACATGTGTGTTTCACACATAGTCCTTCCCAGTCTGTTCATTTTCATCACAGTGTCTTTTGAAGCATCAAGATTTTGAATTTTGACACAGTCCAATTCATCCAATTTTCTTTTATGGACCATACATTTGGTAACATATCTAAGAAATCTTTGCCTGACTCAAGGTCTTAAAGATTTTGCTCCTTAAAATATTATAATTTTGGGGGGGCAGGAGCGGGGCAGTGGGATGAATGGGGGGAGAAGGAGGGATGTCTGTAATACTTTCAACAATAAGGATAAGTTTTAAAAAATCCTATAATGTTAGCTCTTACATTGAAGTCTATGACTCATTTTGAGTTAATTTTTACGTATGATGTGAGATAAGAGTCCAAGTTCATCTTTTGCCATGTGGCTATCCAATGGTCCCAGCTCCATTTGTTGAATCTTCACCTTTAAAACGAGGCCAGTGGCTTATGAGCCTGTCTCGGGTCTGTCTGGGGACTGGACCCACTCAGCTTTAAAACGAGGCCAGTATGAGCCTGTCTCGGGTCTGTCTGGGGACTGGACCCAGGCCCAGGATGTGAGAGCACTTGGCGAAGTGCTACACAACCGTAAGGACTGTTGTTATTATTTGCTTAATACTATGCATGCGGAGGGGGGGAGGGGTCCTGGGCTGAGAAGAGCTCTGGGCACCCATCTGGCTCTGAGAAGGAGGTTTGCCTTCTGGATGCTGCTCTTTTCCACTCAACTCCCACTCCCTCATCCTCTCCCATCCCAAAAGCATCCCTCCCTCTCTTCCTCCCCCTTTCATCCCTTTCTCTTTTCCTTCCTCCCACAAGGAAGGGTTGAGTACCTACCCCAAGCCAGGCATCATGCCAGGCTCTGGGGGCCTGGAAGGCTGGTCCCCACCCACATGAGGCTGCAAGGCTCACTGAGGAGACATGCAAGCCAGGAGGCAAAGGCTACCACATGCCCCCCTAGCCAATCGCCGGGGTAAAGGGAGCCATGGGAGGAGTCAGAGGGTCTTCTGCAAGGAAGTGACCTCCAGGGGGAGCCGTGAGCAGGTGCAGGAACCAGCATAGTGCAGTGGGGTAGTGTGGGCAGAGGGCACCGTCCTGGCAGAGCCTAGAGGGGAGACTGAGCGTGGTGTGGTAGGAAAATGGAAATGAAGACTCGGGGCTAGCATGGGGGATGGCTCGCTGGCTTGTTCTTTCATTTGCCCATTTAACCCTTAACAAGAATTCACTGAGTAGCTCTCTTGCCAGGCCGTGTATAGACAGCACAGTGCGGTGGGGAAGTGTGGGCAGAGCCCAGAGGGGAGACTGAGCGTGGTGTGGTAGGAAAATGGAAATGAAGACTCGGGGTTAGCGTGGGGGATGGCTCGCTGGCTTGTTCTTTCATTTGCCCATTTAACCCTTAACAAGAATTCACTGAGTAGCTACTCTTGCCAGGCCTTGTATAGACCCTGGAGGTATAAACAAGAGGTCCTCTTTGTGGGGTTCACAGCCTTTGGGATTTGGGAGGAGGGTTGCTGTTGGGAGGTCTGGCCTGGGTTCCTGTTCTGCCTGGAGGCCCCCCATTATGAGGTCCCAGCGTCTAAGCTTGGAGTGGTGGAGTCCATCCGGCAGGCTGGGTGGGGCACAGGCTTCCACTCCCCTGGCCACCCAGCCTGAAGGGGAGGGAGGAAGGAGAAGAGAGAAGAGAACTCACCCCCATCTTACCACCCTCCTCAAGCTGCAAGTGGAGACAGTAATGAGGGAGACTGTTGCCATGGAAACCTAGTACAGCACCCCACCTTTTCTCACCGCCCCTAAACCATGCCTGGACCTTCTTTCCTTCTGGAGGGAAAGTTAGCTTTTGAGTGTGAAGAAGAGGGACATGAAGCTTTCTGGAGATCGAAGCACCACATGGGACAGAGCAAAGCTTGAAATCTGAGTCAGTTAAAGGAACATGGAGCAGAGGCACCAATCTGCCTGTTGTGGGGGTGTGGTGGGGGGTGGGAGTGGAAAGAGGGGAGCATCAGGGAACGCCTCTCTTTGGCCGTGAATTTCATTCAAATCAGAGCTCAGGGAGGCTGTTCAGGGTGTCAGAGAGATGTGGGCTCTCTGGAACAGACCGACTGAGTTTAAATCCCAGATCCATTCTTGCTAGCTCTGTGTGACCATGGGCCATCAGACCTCCTGAACCTCAGTTTCCACCTCTGGAAAGTGGGGAAAATAACAGTATTGCCTCACAGGTCATTGTAAACAGGAAATAAAATAATTCCTATAAAGCCCTCTGCACTGTCCTTGAGAACTGTATGTGTTCAATATTAGCCCAGACTGGACCATCCCTAGTATCCTTCCACCTATTCTGTTCTGGAACCAGCACAGGAAAGATGTGGAGTATGGGAAGAATCATCCAGTACCCCACAAACTGCAGCCTTTGTTCTTGCTGTGCTTGGAGAGCAAATGGGAGGGGTGGGGAGGGGTAGGGAGGGCCCACCCCACCCCACCTACCTTCTCCCTTAACTCTGACCCCCCAGAGTTCACAAAGCCAGAGCAATGCATCCACCCACTCCCCACCCCACCCCCTGCTGCCATCTGACCTTCTCAGTCTCTTCAATAATTCATCACCATTTTGTTAACCACAGCAAAGATTATTTCCCATGGTTCTGGACCTTGCGAACATAAACTGGAGTTCCTGGCCATGGGCACCCCCTCCCAGCTCCCCTTCTGCTCTGGGATGCTGCTCACATCCGCTTCCATGCCCACAGCTCTCAGATCGGCCACCCCAGCCCCCTTTCAGGACAGCAGCTCGGTGGCCCAGGTTCGCAGGTCCTTTGGAGGAGTGGAGTGTCACTGTAATGAGGGTTCCACTTAATGTCCTTCCCCGCCCACCATGCCGGCTGGCCGTGCATCTTCTCCTAAGTGTCAGTAAGCTCTTCCTTGCTCTAAACTGCCCTGGGGCCCCAACCTCCTTATATCTTCACACCAGGGAATGGTTTGCCCAACTTCATATATGCAGAAACTGGGTTGCCAGTAGGCTAAGAGATTTGCCTAAGGCTGGGGTAAGTATTTGAATTTGAATTTATGGTTCCCCATTCAATGCTCTTGGGCTTGGATCAGTGAGTCCTCAGTGTGGAGTGGGGTTGGGGGGGGCACTGGAATGACCTGGAAGGTGTTTAGTAGATCCAGATACTCACACCCCACTCTGGACTCTAAGAATGAAAATCTCCAGTCAGTTCTTAGGTACAGCCAACATAGAGAAACACCAGCTTAACGTTATGAGGGTTACTGGCATCTGAATAAGGAGTTCTTGACCATCCAAAATGTTTTCTAACTCCCCCTAAATAAGGAGGGAGAATAAAGAGATTTGGGGGTAAAGGATGGTAGCTCAGTGCCCTTTAAACCAGCAGTCGCCAACCTCTCGGACCTCACGGACCACCTGTGGTCCGTGGACCACCAGTTGGCGACCACTGCTTTAAACCATGTTGCCGTGCCCTTTAAACCAGCGGTCGCCAACCTCTCAGACCACCAGTTGGCGACCACTGCTTTAAACCATGTTGCAATGGGGCATTAGACCTGTCCTTATTTCCTCCACTCAGGAACTCTCCCCTTCCCCACTCCCAACTGAGTCTGAGGAAATCTGGCTGGAGACCTACAGAGGCCACACCCTCTCTTCACTTGAATCCGCAAACTCTTGCATTTCTCCCTGTGCCAGAGGTCACCGGCATGGCCTCTTCTTCACGGGGCACCATGCCTGCCCTCTGTCCTGTCCTCATGTCTCAGGGCTACTTGCACTGCCCTGACTGAACTTGAGCCACTTCCTCTTGGATAGGCTGGAACCTTGGTCTCCTCAGCATTTACAGCCCCTGGGCCCAGCTCAAATCCTATTCCCTGAAACCTTCCTCCGCTGAGCAGCCCAGCCTGTGCCTTGTCCCCACCCTCTTTACACAGTTGGCTTTGCTACCACTGCCTGGCACTATTCTCTCATTTTTGCAGGCACACGAACAGCCAGTTCCCCAGCAAATCTGTGGACTCCTTGACGGCAGGACCCTTGTCATTGTGGTCCTCCCACAACAGCCAGCATGTTGGAGGCCTCAATGAAAGATAGATGCTCCTTTATCCAGGGCTACACTCAGGAGCAAGTCTTGCTCTCCAGCTCACAGCATGGAGTAGAGGGAACGTATGATTTGGGGTCGGGAGATTGGGTGTAAATCTGGATCTATTGTTTATTAACTGCACTTTAACCTGCAGCTGCACAGTTTTCTCTTCTATAAAATGGGTATGATGCCCTAGCCGGTTTGGCTCAGTGGATAGAGCATCGATCTGAAGACTAAAGGGTCCCAGGTTCGAATCCAGTCAAGGGCACGTGTCCAGGTTGCAGGCTCGATCCCTGGTGTGGGGGGTGCAGGAGGCAGCCAATCAATGATTCTCTCTCATCATTGATGTTTCTATCTCTCTCTCCCTCTTCCTTTCTCTCTGAAATTAATAAAAATATATTTTAAAAAATAAAATAAAATGGATATGATTATGTCCATCCTGCCTACATCAGGTTGGCTGTGAGAGTTAAAGGAGAGGGTATGTGGAGACGTTTCTGTAAACTAGGAGTACCACAAATGTTGAATGTTGCCTTTGCTATCGTCTTCCTAGGACTGAGGTAAGACTTCCTTCAGAAGCCCCAAATGGCCCCCTCAGATGCCCCTGAAGCCCCAGAATAAGGTGAGTGGACTAGGGTTCCACCTTGCCATCCAGCCAGCATCCGGGAGCAGCAGAAGGGCGCTCAGCACCATGGACAGCGCCATGTGCCACTGCAGCTACTGCTGTTGCTGCTACTTTTCTTTGCCAGAGTTCTGTGGGTAGCGCCTGGCAGTACTTGCGGATGCCCCTGGCCTAATAACAACATTCACCGCTAACATC